ATCAGTCTATAAACATGTGTTTAAGAAGTGATTCAGAATCCAGATTTTACCTGTTTTCTGCCCAAACTGGCAACCCAGACCAACTAGCTCTGCTCTGATTCCCAACATGAATATTTAAACGCTGCGCTGCTTCCTCGTGCTTCTATTTTTTATTTTTCCAGCTATTTCCAGCGCGTGCGACTGTTTTAGCTGAACCTGAGCGGCCTGTGGTTGTAACGAGGGATTCCCCGCTGATAGATGGAGTCTGGATGTGTGTGAGCTGCTGGGAGCGCTGGCTCTCAGTCCAGATCAGACCCGGTGTGGGACGCTGCCCTGTTATCAGCGCGCCACACAGCTGCACATTCTGCTGATCGTATCAAAGGGCGCAGATTTAACCGTGGTTGTGGCCTAGGAGTGGCTTCAGCGTTTATTACAAGGAGCTGGTTTGGCAGCGAGCGCAAAGGTAAAAATACACAGAGTGACGTGTGATCGGCAGGAAGCTGGAGCTCAGTGCAGATACGACTGGTCATAAGATTTACGTTTTCTGAACATGACTGTTTTTGTTTTGGCATCTCTGCTGTCAGCTTCTCTACAGTTAAACTGAGATGTTTGTTCTCAGAGTCCCACAGTGGACAAAAAAGACAAATATCCATATACATGATAAATCCAAATACGTCCAGCGGGTCAGAACCGTAGCATCAGTATGTTTTCTAAACCTTGTGGCTGCAGCCCCTCTCTGCCACCCTCAGCTGTACAATAGCTCAACTTCCTGCTGCCTCGCTTTGTTGCTCTGAGCAGAAATAGACTCATTTGTTCTGGAGCAGCTCCAGAGTCGGGTTTCAGCAGCTGTAGGCCTCTGGACACACAACAGACACACAACAGACACACAACAGACACACAACGGACACAATCTGAGCATGAAGCCCAGAGAACAAACTGTCCAACAGTGTAAAAAGGTGGTGACACACACAAATAAAATCAAAATCCTGTAAAAAATAAATAAATAAAAAGTTTAACGGTGAAAATCTGGCAGCAAAGATGTCAGAAAAGATATATTTTCCCAAAAAAACCTGTGGTAAGGTTCAGTTATGTTTTGTGAAATTAACAGCAGAGTTCTGTTAAATAAAGTCCACATTTAAATACAATAGACTTTATATATATGTATTTATATGTTATTTTATGGTCATACATTATAACAGAACAAATTCAAATTTTTGATGCTGAGAATTTGTGCAATTTATAATTTTTTATTTTATTTTATTTTACAATTAACGCGTACATTTTGTTTCCTGTAATTTTACTTGATATAATAAGTAATTTAACCTGACAGGAAGCCGTTAAAACTTTCTCTTATTTGACAGATTTGTTTTGTTTTATTAAATTATAGATAATAATTATTTTATCTGTATTTTTTTGTATAAATAATAATTTGTTGCTTAGTTATACATTTATCTTATTTTTTTACAATATTTAAATCCACAAAAAAAAATTATTTTACAGATATTTTCTGTTATGTGAAAGGAAATCTGTGTTTATTAAAAACTGAAAAATGGTGAATAATTCTGCTGTTATTTTACATTTTGACCTGTTTTGATAAATTACAGAGAATAGAACAGAACATCCTTTATTAGTCCCACAAGGGGAAATCTGTAACGTAAGAAAAGCAAGAAAACACGACTATAGATGAAAGAGGAGACGTATATACACTATAAATATAATATAGATAAGAAAACCAGAAGAACACAAGGATGCAAGGAACACAAATGTAAGAATATAAAGAAAGAAATTGAAAAAAATAAGCAATTTTCATGTTAATTGTAAGAGAAAATAAGAAACTGAAAAAACATTCCCATCAAAAATGTGTCGTTTTGTCATTTTTTAGTGTATTTAATATTTTTTTTTCAATGACAGCTTCACTGTATTTAAATCAGCTGAGACATCATCAAGCTGACAGATAGAAGCTCGTAGTTTTTCCATCCTACAGCTTTTAAATGTTATTCGACTCCCCGGTTCTTCTCACGACATCCAGCGGCCACATGTTCT